GCCAGCCAGAATTCTGGGAGTTGAAGTCCACTCATCTTAAAGTGGCCAGGTTTGGACAACATGGAACTAGGGTGTAGGCATTCCATATATACTTCATATACTTCTCCCCTGAAACAGCAGAGGGGAAGGCATTGCAGGCTTTTCAGTGCAAAAGTGCTTTGGGATTTAGAGACATCTGTGTATCTCCAGTTCCCAGGAAGTAATACGCTAGGCACCTCAGCTAGAGGATATTGTTGCTCTATGTCCAAAATTCTCTTTTGCAGTACTATGCAAACCTTTTCATAACCCCCAAAAATAGGCCAGCCAGAGAGAACACAAAGAGTGCTAATTTCAGCAATAATGTCTTCTTCTATGTCAGTTGAAAGCATTGAGGGGCAAGTTCCACATAAAAGTAGGACAGCTTTAGATAGTACTTAAATACAGGTATCCGTACTGTAGCCTCTATTTTCACTGCGCTTACCTCAAGAAACAAAGCTTTATTTGGGACATATTGCAACATTGGATGCTGGTTCATTCTAGTGCTTTGAATTTGGGGAAGGGGTCTAGCTTAGTCCCGTGTAGCATCTCCACCACTGTTTTTGCTTAAAATAGATAAAGGGAGGTTGGGATAAATTTACTAGCTTTAGACCTTAAAAATGTAAGGATGGCAACTGCAGTTTCTCTCAGCATTTTTGAGAGAATGTGTTGCATGTGACTTTCTGCTATCATAATGCCATCCCCAGATCTTTAAAATATGCTACCTGATCAGTTAGGTATCCACCTATTTGCCATGTGTATTTCTGGCAAAATTCATAATTTTAGTTTTCTTATAGCTAACTATACAACCTCTTTCAGAACGATGTACATTTTAACTTCAGTTAGGGATTCTGGAAATAATGAATGCATTATCTGCATTCGGCAAGATATTAATTTATTTCTGTTTTATTTTAGGAAGGGGAAATCCAAATTATCTAAATTGCTAACCAAATTATTTATAATCTATAAACGATGAAGCCAGAATGCAACCTTGCTTGACTCCCGTTTGGCTGTTAGCAACAATTGTTAAGTGCCCTTTAGGGTTGCATCTAATATTCAATTATGTATTTTAATATAAAGTTTATATTGAGAATAGCAGGCATTGGCCAGTTGTAAAATCTTCCATCTTTTCCCACAACGTATTATGAAAGATTGAATTAAAAAATCAGTAAAGGTTGCATACAGAGAGCTGATAAAGTAGGTAGAATATATTTCTATCAGGTGTTGTAGGACCAAATACCATTTTTTGGTAGAATGTTCCTATAGCTTTCCTGCTTCTTTGACTAGTCCTTCAATTTTCAGTCTTTGTGCCTAGGATACAGTTTACTAACAGTATTAAGACTAATTTGGTCTGTAATAAGCAGGATTATACTTCTTTACTTTTTTTAAAAAAATGAGAATAATGATTGTAAGCCCCCAGTTTTAGGGACCTGACCATGTTTCAGTAAAGAAAAAGCATCATCAAAATAGGGAGCCACCACATTTTTTATTAACTGGGAAAATTAAGACATTTCTGTGACTTTCCTTGATCTCAGTTGTGGAATTACTGTAAATCCTTCATCTTTGTTTTTGTTACTGCTAGCTAGGCTGGACTGTTGTCATTACAGAACCAATATGTGTTTTGTTTCGTTTCGTTTCATTTCGTTTTGTCACATCACCTTTATACAGTTCTCAAAGAGTCTTTTGCAGACCTAAATGAGATATAACTCACTTGTATATTTAAAAGTGACTTAGTTTTCCACTGTGATGCTCAAAACAAGGGCAGAATCATTACTTCTTACTGTTTGAATCAGATGTGCCCAACTTTCTTTCATAATGGTCTATTTCTTGTATTTGGGAATTGTTTCTAATGCTATTTCTGATTAAAAATACTAGTAACTTCATTAGATTTTCATTAATTCTGTGTGCCTTGTAATTTGTAGTAAGTCCTTTTGTAGTTCTTACACAAAGTCAAATTGTGGCTTTCAGCAGTATTGGTGATGGTTACATCAGTCATTTAAGTTAGTAATTTTTGTAATTCCTGCATTAGTATGAAATAGTTCTGCAGAATTAAAGTATCAGATTCTACTGATATAAGGAAGAGTGTATACTCTGATATTGCTGTAACACAAGTTGAACCTTAATGCTTTGTTTGAATTGTGGGGACCATTTAATACAACAGAGTCTTCTATAAAAGAGAACCTGGGCTGGCAATGCTGTACCACCTATGGTTTCCTAATGCAGAGCAGAAAACATAGTAAAACTAGAAAATGATCTCTTATGAATTAAGAGATGCCTAAAAATTACTAATGATGTCATCAGTAGCACTCCTTTTCAAGATGACCCAATTGGTGAATTCTGCTTGAGAGTCATTTTCAATAGCATCATTTAAGATATAGAGATTAAGCAAATTAACTATCTGGGCTGGACAAAAACCTGCATAGTTTGATTTCACATGCTTTGATAATCAGTACAAAGGGATCACTTCTGTTTCAGAGGAAGGAGAAAAGCCCTGTAATCTGGCATATAGAAAATCATCATCAGGTCCTACACAAGCATTAAAGTAATCGGCCATCACTACAATAGTATCTGGGAAAGCAGACAGAAGATCTGATAAATAGGTTCCGTCCATAAATTCCTGAAGCATGGGGTTTGTCTCATAGGAGGAAAGTAATAACCAACAAAACATTATCATTAAAGTAAATTACAACTAACAGAGCTTATTGTTCAAATGTACATTATATGACCAACCTCATATTCCAGGTGATTAAAACAAGTACTCTAAGGCCTCCTTCACTCTTCCTTTTCCCCCTCTCAATTTCACCTTATAGTACGACTGAGCTAAAACTATCGATCGCCATCTCATTAATGAAGTAGATGTCTTAGACCAGTGTAATTCTTCATTTAGGTATAAAATCAAGAAATAAATGTTCTTTGCAACTTGAATGCCATCCTATCACATTCCAGCTGAAGAGAGAGCTGTTATGCTGGATTTCTATTCCTCATTCTGTACAGGTAGTCCTTGCTTAGCAGCCACTCATTCAGCAACCAAAGTTATGACTGTACTGAACGAGATTTATGTCCTCAAAGTTGCGGCAGTCACAGCATCCCCACAGTCATGTGATTGTGATTCGGGCGCTTGGCAACCAGCACACAATTACAATGATTACAGCATCCCACAGTCACATGATTGCCATTTGCAACCTTCAATGCCAAACAAAGTCAATGGGGAAGGCGGCAGGAAGTTGCAAGTCATGGCTATATGACATCTCGCTTAACCATGCGCGATTCACATAATGACTGCAACCGGAACTGCCATCATAAGTCAGAATGGTCACGTGATTTTTTGCTTTACAACTACATCACTTAGCATTGGAGTTCCTGGTCCCAATTATGATCATTAACTGAGGACTACCTATACTTGCAATCATTGAAGCTGGATGATGTAGCATGCAATGAAAGGAGTTTGGAGCCAGGAACAGTTGAAGGCAGGAAGTGTAATGAATGTATATGTAATGAATGTACATGTCCAATGTTGCTGTCTCCACTAAACCCCAGTGGAAATATTAAGGCTTCCTTGGTGTTACCATTCCATCCAGGATTCCATTAACACATTTGACCCTGAGATTAAAATATTTTCTGTTTGTTCTGGCATGCAGCTTTTAACTAACTTCAAAGTCATTTTGCCAAGGGCAAGTTCTATTTCCAAATTGCTCTTCTCCTGCACATCCCTAAGGGTTACTATTAATATTTTGCTGTTTTCCTATTTGTTAGATTCTTTATGATGACGGGAAAATGGCAGTTGAAGTGGATGGCCGAGCCACGCAGAAACTGATCACCAACCTGAAGCCTGAGACATCCTATTCATTTGTGCTAACCAATAGAGGGAATAGTGCTGGAGGTTTGCAACACAGGGTGACAGCAAAGACAGCACCAGATGTACTACGCACCCAACCACTTTTCATTGATAAGACCAATCTAGATGGAATGATAACCGTGAAGCTGCCAGAAGTACCTGCAAACAAAACTATAAAGTAAGTTATATCTAATGTATATTGTAAGAGTTTAAAAACAATTGAAGGAGATTTGTAATTTCTTAGAACCTTTTCTATAGTTTAAAGCATTTACTTTTGTATCTGCTCCCTTAGGTGCAGGCACTGCCGTAAACAGGCAGGCATTTTAAGATTTGATGCCAAAATGAATACAGTTTATTGTTTATGATGTTTATATCCTATCTTTCAAACATGAGCCAGGGACTGTATTCTAACTTTAAAACAAAACAAAAAAAACCTTTGTCTTCACAGGAAAGCAGGAGGCACAGATAGGAGATGGTGATTTTATCAAAAGGGTTAAGGGGAGGTTTAAGGGGCAAAATAAGTAAGACCCTGTTTAAATGCCAAACAGGAAAATAAAATAGCACAGGGTCTTAACAGACCTGATTTACCCCTCATTTTTTGCAAAAATCTGTGCAAAATCATGAAACTGAAAATCATCATGCTTGCCATTACATTTCAGCATTGCAGTCAGGGGTGTGCAGGCCATGAAACATTTGTTGCCAGTCCCTGTGCTAGTACAGTGGGATCGTCCCACTGCAGCTGTACCCTGCTCCCACTCCCCCTGGCATTCTCAAAAATGTATAGGCTCTAGAGGGTCTGCAATGGGAGGAGGGAACTTTCTCTTGTGGTTCCTACAGCAACTGGATTTCAACCAAATAGACTTCCAAGTAAAATAGAAATGTCAATTTAATAAGTTACAATTTAGTTTTAGTCTTCAATGTAAGTTCCATCTGGGAAGTTGGGCAGATAATAAAATCAGGTGCATCTGTCTGTTTGAAGATTCAGAGCCTAGATGTTGTACGTAGTTTATATTAGAATACAGAGATTTATCACATTTATATAGATCCAAAATGAATTGCCTTTTCACGGTATGAGCAGTTGTTATATGCTTAATTATCAAATCTATTATTAGGCACATTATATCTGTAGTTTATGTTTCTTTATATTTTTCCAGTCCTTGTGATGGGTAATATTGTATAAATTGTATTGTATAAACTTTGGTGAATTCTTGTTTCCTGTATATCTTGCTATTATATATAATAGTTCTGCTTTAGTTCAGTCAATCTAAAAGCATATCAACCCTATTCATACACACAAATTACAAATATTTGCTTTATATCAAAGTTATTTCTATTAATCTGTTTAAAAAATTTGATCTGTGTAATGTTTGACAATATAAAGTGTAAAAAATTCTGATGGTCCTAGAATTGGCTCCTACAATGAATTAAAAGTTAGGCTTGAAAATAGAATTTGTTATTAATATTGCAATTATTCAGTTTAGAGCCTGAAATCATACATCATTTGAATAAATCTCTGAACTGAATTAGCTTTCTGAATCATATTATCAATTCAGCCTAAATAATTGTAACAGATGCTTCCATATCAATACATTTGATAGCCTATTATTCATAGACAGAAAAGCTTTTTTCCAAGCCAAATTGGCTTTCTGAATGTGATTCAATTTATTGATGTGATTTATAAATCTGAATCAAATCATTATAGATATCCAAACGAAATGATTCAAACAAGATTTGACCCAGTTCACCCAATCTTAACTGGTGTAATTGTTGGTGACTTCAGTAACTATATAATCAACTTACTGTTTTGACATTTAAAGTCATTCAGCTGTCTACAATCATGCTGAGTCTCAAACAGTTGCCTGCCTTCCCTCTTTCTGTGTCTCTAATTACATACAGAAATTTCCTTTCCTTTTCTGACTAAAAATTGTAAACAATGTTATTTTAAGATTTAACTAGAATCTAAAATTGAATTTAGAATTCTACAAACAACTAGGACCAAATGTATGTACTCAAACTTTAGAGCAAATCAGTTTTCAAGCTTAGTAGAATTGTGTGTGCCTGCCACATAGCTCTTTTTTGTATGTTATTCATTTATTTTTATTTTACAATACTTTTACATTGCTTTTCTATAAATTAATTTCAATGTGGTTTACAAACTAAAACAAGGTCATATATAAAGTATAATAAAATTGTTGTAATAAAACTTTTCATATAAAAGAAGCCCTCTATATTGAATATTAACAAAAACAGCACAATAGCCCATATAAGGGGAAGGCATGAGCTTTAGAGTTTACTTTTCAAAAGAATTTCGAACTGTATTCTTTGTAATGATTTTCATTATCACTTGAACTTCAAATTCAAGTTGTATAGCACTTTATATTTTCTAATCTTTATCGATTCTAACTAGGTAGAATACATTAATTCTCTTGTATTAGCAGTTCCTCCCAACTGTAGGAAAATGTGCCATATCAGATACAATAGACCCTCTCACCTATGATTTCTGTGTGTCTCAATTCTTAATATCAAGGTAACATTTAAGAAACAGTGTCAGAAAGAACCATTCATGAGTCTTTTATTTTCTCAGTATGTTAGCAACTACTTAGGGTGGAAGTGAGAAGAAATAACTGGTTCTAGGACAAAGACATGATAGTTTATAACTTCTGTTGGGGGTAAAATATTAAACATGAAACTGAGTAATCCATAATTATTTCTAATATATAAAACTAATGTTGGATAAAAAACCAGAGCAGGGTTCTGTTCAATAATATTACAAAACTAGTTAAATATTCAAAGAAAGCATGAATGGTTTTTCAAGATTCTATGAACTATGCAAAGAGAATTTTTTTCCAACAATAAGATGATTGTGCACCTTCATTGTTCATAAATAAAAGAGGCAGAGATTCGTAAGGAAGTAAGACTTCCTACTTTCAGCCACACTTCCAGCATTCACTATTCATATAAATAAAAACTACAGAGAATTTCTCTGATCTTCTCTCTTCATACGATAATCATTCACTTCTCTTGAGCTCTGTGTGGCTAAATACATTTTGTTTGTAAAATCCCTATTCCTATCAAGCATTTTCTGGAATGTCTAAAGTGGATCCAAGTCCCACTAAAGTAATTAAATAGTTATGTTTCTTTTTGTCTTTGTTATTTAAGAAACACAATATCAGTAATATTTACAGCCATACACACACACACACACATAAAAGAAAAAAAAAGTAAACCAGGAATAGAATCAAATGCACATTTAAACTTGGGAGTTATGGATCCATTAGCATACGGAAACATGCATACTCATATGAAATATTTTCATGCAGAATAACTTTTGTATGGATGAAAGGGTTATATTAGGAAATACAGCTATTATGGCTAAAATACTGAGTAGATTTGAATAAATGTATCCCTCATTGTAAGATATTTCTTGGTTATTCCTAAAATTAGCATTAAAGTCAAGTACTGTATTTAAGTATTCAGAATCATCATATTAATACAGCAACAGAAGTTTAATGTGTCTTCCTTATAAAAAATTGTCAGACATTGCTTTAAAAACCTGTATTTCAAAAAAAAAAGTGATTTAAATCTAAAAAGTAATTTTGGAACAAATGGATTTGTCAGGTATATCTTTTGTTCACAGTTCTGGAACATGGTTTACAGGGCTTCTCAAGTGGGTCTGTGCAGATTAAGCAACAGAGATGGTACTAAAGAACTGACATTACAGTGCCAATTGGAATTCAAAATGATGAACCATAAAGAGTTACTAGGAAAGCCTGTGCACCATTCAATCAATAAGTGTTGTTGCTTTGTTTGCAGGCTTTTTTGTTGATGATGACATTGTGATGTGTATGGCAAAAAAGAGAGGAAAATATTGCTCAAGATGCAACATGTTTTTTACATGTAATCTTTTGTATCTTGAGCTTCATGCAAAGCTATTTTTATTGCTTAATTGGAATTCTAAAGAAGGCTATAGGAAATAAAATGCTAAAACATTAAGAAGTGTGAAAAAATTAGTCCATAGCTAATAATGAGAGAGAGAGGGAGAGAGAGAGAGTTTATTAATATAAATGGGAATTGTTACAGATTGAAAGTATCAGAAACATTTATGGAGAAAAGAACCTGAAAAGAGAAGTAGCTAATGTCTGTCTGGAAGATTAACTTTACAAAGTAACTTAGGAGCCATAGCACTGTAATCACAGCGCTATAATTTGAATTTTACAACACATGTAAGAATATATTAATTTTTGGAAAGTAATCTAAAATCTGGTACACATAACAGAAAATTGTTTGAAAATGTATATTTTAGGATAAAATATAACAGTGTTTACAGAATTACATGAAATGCATACAATTTTTAATCAGATTTTTATTTATTGAGACATGAATCTGCAACAAGACATATAAGATACAATAAAAAGCTTACTAGGAAAAAGAAAGGATGAATCCATTATTCTCTTGTCCTTAAGGCTTTCAATAACCTTTGGTTGGTCGCAATAAGAATAGAATGTTGTTCTAGTTTAGTCTGTGTTGTTTCACCAAGCAAAGTCCTTCTTATAGTTCTCAGAATTGACAGGTCAAAGTTTTGAATGATATGAATGTGAAACCACATCTGATTAAAACTACTCACCAACAAGGCCCCTGTGCCTTCTTTAAGATTTTATGGAATTACACATGTAAATATTAATGGAAAACATTGCTGCAAATATTTGGATTTTTAAGAATTAAGAGTAATCCCTGCTAGAATTTTGGGAGGGAGGGAGGGAGCAAGCAAGACCAGTGAACACAGGTGGTGATCAAAAGGAATCAAATCAAATCTTTATTACCATCATAGATCAAAAGGAAGATTTTTTGATGGACGAGTATGGATTAGTATAAGCCTTTCCTTTTAATCACATGATTTTGGGCCCAAAGGGGAAATTGCCAGATCTGCTCCCATATGGATAGAAGTTACAATGTATTTATTTTACCCATATTTGTATGCCACCTATTTCTTATGTGGCTTTTGTAAATTTTCCAAGTAGTATAAAGTTGTTATTGTTATTATTTTTTCCTGCAAACACATTTTCGTTTGGATTTTCATTAAAAAATGGGCAGATAGAAATCTATCCTAAAAAGCAGAGTTCAACACTATTAACCTACCACTAATCTCTACTGACAACAGAATTTTCATTTAGATTCCAT